GTTCTCGTCCCTGTCTCTCTGTAAATAGTGTCTCTGTATGTTTTTACTAACTTGTGTGCGGATCTGCAGAAGGAAATGATCTCAAGACTAAAATCTGGAAAATATACATTCGTGAAAATATTCATTCAAATGTTAAAATATGTCTTTTTTTCAATTATATTCTTATATTTTTCTGGCCATTTTCAACATCCTACACACAAAGCATGATCTGCCCTCACTTTTCCCCATTTTCACCAAAAGATTAAAAAAAAAAAAGCATATACAAACATGCAATCACTCGTGACGTTTATTCTTTTCAAACCTGTACAATACACATTTTCACATATATCAATATCATTTAGGTCCAGCCCCCGTCGCACATGAACGATATCATGCAGTGGAACTCTCAAACCCCAACTGTACAGTACAAACAGTAACGCAATACTTCCATCGATGGTAAAAAGACACAAAACACACACTGACTCTGAAGACATTCCTTAATTCGGGTTATTTTCGGGTCTGGGGGGTGATACTTCCCAATCCACAGAGCCCCAGCCCCTCATCCTCCTGCAGGTGCTGAGTCCACAGGAGGACGGCTGCTCGGTCAGTGTCAACACAGCCTTGATCTTTCAGCGAGGGCTTCAGGCAAAGTGGGGTAAGTGTATTGCCCAAGGACACAACGACAGCAGACATCAGTGGGAGTCCGTCTCAAGTGAGGATTGAACCCAAGACCTTCAGGCTCAAAGGACATTGCTCTTGTTGGATTGTCTTTAATAGAAAGATTTTTTGACATTGTTCAATTCCTTTTCCTGAGCAGTTTTAGATCTTTGATAGATGAATCTGTTTTATTGGTGCAAACTGATGTAAGTTTTATGAAAACAATGGAGCACATCAAATAAAATTAAAATTAAACTTCCGCCTATGAATTTTCCTTTTCTGATGCAACAATAAACAGCGTTCGTGTATCTTCTGGTATACGACTCCGTTTCTGGCTCATGGTGGTAATAAGGACTTGAATAAGGAAGCCCTGGCCCATTACGCAGCAGCTGCATGGAAAACGAACATTTATTTGAGCTAATTTAATTCTCCGAGGCTGACTCTCTCCCGCTGTCTCTCTCGTTGGCTTCGTGCATTATTTATAAAGCCTTACCAGCTTCCTGTCCTGCACTCGGCCTACCTCGCTGCCCTCAGCCTCGGCCGTGTCCACATAAATCACGGCGATGTTAAAGAGACTGGTTAACACAGCACTTCCACTTTGGCACCGACTCAAACTGGACCTTTATGTGAAAAAGCCCTCGCTCCGTGTGCGCCTCAAGATACACCACATCAATTAATAACAAGCCGTCTGCCCCGTGATGCACAAAGGCGGCTGTTGTCCCGAGATTTCTGTGGCCAAACAAGTATTTTAAGATATTAGGAGAGCCTTTGTTCGTCCCATAGTGGGGAAATTTCAGTGTTGCATCGCCAGTTAGAGACCAGTAGGAATGAGGAGCAGAGACAAGATAATAACTATAACTCTATAAAAAAATAAAAAAATGTAACTTGATAACATAAAGAAGTTTGTATAAAATCTCTAGCTTTAGCATAATCAAGAAGTTAGTCTAAAATCTCTATCTTTAGAATAATAGGGAAGTTAGCAAAAAAATCTCTAGCTTTAGCAAAATAAAGAAGTTAGCATAAAATCTCTAGCTTTAGCATAAAAAAGAAGTTAGCATAAAATTTCTAGCTTTAGCATAATAAAGAAGTTCGTATACAATCTCTAGCATTCACATAAAAAAGAAGTTAGTATAAAATCTTTAGCTTTAGCATAATAAAGAAGTTCGTATACAATCTCTAGCATTCACATAATAAAGAAGTTAGCATAAAATCTCTAGCTTTAACATAATCAGGAAATTAGCATAAAATCTCTAGCTTTAGCATAATAAAGAAGTTAGCATAAAATCTCTAGCTTTAGCATAATAAAGAAGCTATCATAAAATGTCTAACTTTAAACTGACTATATCGAGCAATTTCGGACATGTGTAAATCACTAAAAACACATTGGCTGTAGACATGTGTTGCTTTTCTGACATTAGCGATGACAGAATCTCAATCTGTATCAGACTTAATGACACAAAACTCTAAACCACAAGAATGATGTGGTTTCAGAGGAGAATCTGAACAGTTACATGACAACTAAATACAGGCCCGTCCCAAGGGGGGTGCGAGGCCCTGTGCGAACTCGAAACGCGAGGCCCTGCCCTGACACTTTTTTCCCAGATCTGAGGAAAGTTTTTCCTGTTATAATCTTTGACATGAATTCAGCACCACCTCGCGCGGTGCTTGACGAGATCAGCACGCGTGTAACCGAGTGTCTTCGCTCCTATGCAGCGTTTGGCGCGCGCACGTACACACGCACACACACTCTACGTGCAATATTGGTCGCGGTCTTTTTAGCTGACATGTCTCTTTCGTCCTGTGGCAAAATGGTAGAGCAACTCAAAAGATTGAACCAAAAGGAGTCTTTTTCTTCTAATAGTTAGATTTGGGCAAAATGCGCCAAAATGGCTATGAGGCGGAGTCAATATTATTATTTTCTCATCAAATAACGTTTTTGCCATGCCTCCACACACTCTGACAACATACACTCCTCCTCCTCCACACTGACAACAACAAAATACTCTTCACCTCCTCCTCCACACACTCTGACCACAACAAAAACACTCCAGCTAGCTAAAGCTAGACATACAGTGTGTTTGCTAATGCTTTTAAAAATATGTTTTTGATGTGGATATTCGGACTAAACATTGGCAATAGCAGCGCTCACACACCTGTCACACCGCTGATCCTCTTCCTCCTCCTCTGCTCACACAAAGGGGTCTGCTCCTCTGCTCACACCTGTCTCACTGCTCCTCCTCCGCGAGTATCCATCTCTCCTACACTGCGATCATTCCCGTTACTTTCTTTGTATCTCACTCAGACACTGCTAAAGTTATCTGACAGTTTTTTCGGAGGACCCGTTGCATACATAGCTGCCCGCGCGCCTGCCTGTTTACAAATCGCTTTTGGTGAAAATTTGACTTTACTTGTAAAAATGTTCTTTTGATCAAACGAAATCAAAGAGGTCCAGAGAAAGGGGTTTAGGGTTCCAAATTTGGAGTGCAGTCTGCCCTTTGGGGACCCTTGAACTAGTGTATTTATAAAATAAAATAAAAGGAAGGAAGATTGCGAGGCCCCTGTGTGGTGCGAGGCCCTGTGCGACGGCACAGGTCGCACAGCCCTTAGGACGGGCCTGACTAAATAAATCATCGTTATCTGGGGAGAAAAGAGGGCAGTGAGGTTTCATAAGACGCTCATAGATTTAAGCCAGAGACATCTTGCCTTTTATCTGAGGGGCTTAGCGAAGCTTCAGTGAAAGTAATAATGCAATATTGTGAAATGAACCCACAAATATTTAAGCTTGATATCTTCCCTTGTGCTGCAGGGAAAAATGTGTTTATAAAAGACACAAGTTCAAACCAGCTGTAATACAAGACAATAGTGCGATAGTCATTGCTGGTAATAACTCATGGACAATGGGACAAGTTGCGTCTCGATCTGTCAATAATCTCACAACAGTTTATGTGAGTAACCTTTGTGTGCGATAATTTAGCGGCAATAAAGTAAATAACATGGTATTATGAAATTACACACATTTTAAGTTCCCATGCAGGGTTAGCATTAGAGCGTGCAGGGCCTGGTTAGTGCTGGGATGGGAGACCTCTGGGAACACCGAGAGGAACCACATGGGGCGGTTGTTAAACGCCAAACGGTCGCTGTGTCCTTAGGCAAGACGCTTCCCCCGCATTGCAGGAGTCTGGTGTGCAAGTGAACGATGGTGGTCGGATTAGCAGTCTCGCTTCTGCACCAGATTTTGTGAAGCGTATTTGAATGTCATGAGAAGTTATAGATAGATATTTTACATTATATTATACAACTTAGGGCTGTCCAATTTGTTCTCAAAGAATAAAACACACTGTCTTTGTCTGAGATTGAATGAACTACACCATAACTGTGTATTTTCAGGATTTTAGATGTAGACAGGTCTAAATTTGCTGTAACTACTGTATTCTTTAGGACGCTTGTGCAGAAGGAAGCTTGTGGGCCACAGAAATTGCCCTGAGAGTTGTCTTTTTGCCTCCAGGCCACAGTCTGGGACAGAGTTTGAAGACTCCTTGGCAGAGATTTAATTATAACAAAAGCCTGAATATTGTTGCACAAATAAAGGTTTCAATACTATTTATTTAATCACTTTTATTCCAGGGCCTCATGCTGCAACATACTAGTATCATCACCTCATCTTGCTGTATACAGTATATTCATGTATACAGGTTTAAACCTCATTTGTTTTTATATGGGGGGACAGTAGCTCAGTTGGTAGAGCATTGGCCTTTGAGCCTGTAGGTCGTGGGTTCGAGCCTACAGGCCTACTTCACGACTCCCACTGATGACTGCTGTCCTTGGGCAAGACACTTAACCCCACTTTGCCTGAAGCTCCCACTGAAAGATCTCAGCTTCTGTGGACTTAATTGGAGTGGACTCACACACACACACACAGTGCGTGTGTGTGTGTGTGTGTGTGTGTGTGTGTGTGTGTGTAGGCGTGCGTGTTCGTGTTGGTTTGTGTGTATATTCATGTGTGTGTGTTTATTATTGTATATCTGTGCGTATGTACGTGCGTGAGCAGTGGGCGTGGTCACGTCATGGCTGCTCCGCTGAAGCGCTGCTCCTGTCACCACAGCGCAGCAAAGACAGGTCTGTGCGGGACCTCCGATGGGAGTTCTTCAGGACTTGGACTTTTCCTGATCCACATTTGTCATTACGCAAAGAGAGAGAGAGAGACAGAGACAGAGATACAGAGAGAGAGAGAGAGAGAGAAGCCACTGAGACCGAACAGGGCGCAGACATGACCACCGGCTGGAACTGTCCCCGGTAAAAGTTATCTTCATCCTCCGTATCCTGACCCTGACTTTGCACTGAGAGGAGACGCACTCGGGGCACTCATGATGAAGCCCCTGTACCTCGCAATCCTACTCGGAGTGGTGAGTAAGATTGTTTTTTCAAGTTTTTGCAGAGCTTTACGTTGTGCGTCACCTCCTGATTGGTCCAGATTTCATATAACAACGTATAGACGCAAATTCTCCTCAGGTTTATTCCACATGTTCACACCAAACTGTGATGTGTCTTGGTCCCTCATCAGTACTTTTATAGTGCCATAACACAGTCTTGAAAACAACCTGCTTTGTGGCTGTGATCGGTGCGTAATATGGATACAGAAGTTGCACCTGTCCCGCGCGTAAAGCTGATATGATCCGAATCACAATGTAAAGCCCAGCGGATGTCCTGCAGCTTTCAGACGGATCCCCTGTCGCTTCAGTCGCTGCATCTGTAGTTCCACCCATCTCAGTTACATGGCCCTTCACAAACGGGACAGAAGGACAATACGGACTGCGCTGCGGCTTCTCTGGAGACTATGCATCCAACCACATGGCCACTGATTTAGCAGATCTATAGGTCTAACAAAGTCACTGTGCTTTCTGGTTCTTTACAATTGAACTCATTAATGTGGGGCCCAAAAAGTGTATATTTTCATGTTGCTGATGCTATTCTGTCCTGGCTTGGTTCCTATGGAAACAGTTTTATATGGCCTGAAAACACGAAAAAATAAAACAGGTGTTATTAAACTTGTTCAAACATCTGACAGAAAAGAGTATTCATATTAATCCTGCCATGTGTTCACTGGTTCAACTTGGATTCTGGGCCCCCTGGGGCTGGGTGGGGGCGGCGTTTGGGGGCTCTTGGGGGTCCCTTTACAATCAATAAGGATTTCTCAAAAAGTGTTAGACGCACTGATTAACAAAATGTTATTTATTGGAGTGTTTTAAGTTTTAGAATTAAGCAAAATGTGTATACAGACTTCTATATGTACAATAAATTACAAAATACAAGACCCAGTGAGCACCAGGGCACACACCAGAGCTCCTGTTTGAATATTTATAATGTTTCCATTGAGGTAAGGAAAGTTATAATGCACATTATACATTTTGTCATTTCACATATGTCTGAAGAGTACATTTGATAAAACAGCTTTCACATTTCTGTTGGATTGACATCATATCATCTCAATATTGACCGAACCTCAGCAGTATCTATGTCCAATATTGTTCACCCCTTGAGACCTGAGTCCTTAACCTATAGATACGACACAGGAAATAAGTAAAACATTAAAGCCAGATTTGGATACAAAAAGATTTCCCAAGCTTTAAACATCTCAAGGAGCACTGTGCAAGCAATTATATTGAAATGGAAGGAGTATCAGACCACTGTGTCTAACCAGGTGTTAGAATGGCCAAGTCAAAGTCCAGACCTGAATCCAATCGAGAATCTGTGGAAAGAGCTGAAGACTGCTGTTCACAAACGCTCTCCATCCAACCTCACTGAGCTCGAGCTGTTTTGCAAGGAAGGATGGGCAAGAATTCCAGTCTCTCGATGTGCAAAACTGATAGAGACATACCCCAAGCGACTTGCAGCTGTAATTGCAGCAAAAGGTGGCGCTACAAAGTATTAGCGCAAGGGGGCCGAATAATATTGCACGGCGCACTTTTCAGTTTTTTATTTGTTAAAAAAGTTTAAATTATCCAATAAATTTCGTTCCATTCCACGATTGTGTCCCACTTGTTGTTGATTCTTGACCAAAAATTTAATTTTTATATATTTATGTTTGAAGCCTGCAATGTGGCGAAATGTTGAAAGGTTCAAGGGGGCCGAATACTTTCGCAAGGCACTGTATATAGTTTGCAGTCAGTGTTTTGCAGTAGTTTTTACAGAATCTTTTACAGATATTGGACAATAGCAGTAGAAAATGTAACTTGAAAAAATGTAAAATATCAGATAAAGTGACTAATGAATTGACAGTATGGTGAACGCCACATACAGGGTAAGCAGTAGTCGTTGTACAGTCTGAAAGAAGCAGGAAGGAAAGACCTGCAGAACCTCTCCTTCTCTCAGCAAGGGTTGCTCAGTCTCTCACTGAAGCTGCACTCTAAAGCAGACCGTCCTGCAGGGGGCGACAGCCACAGTCCAGCATGGATGTGAGCTTGTCTAGGACCCCCCTGTCTCCCACCTCATGCACTGGGAAAGCCTTTCTCTTCTTTATTAGTACTCTTGGTGGGAATCTCGCAACCCACCAAGACCTGGCAACACATATCTGGAGGCTGACAGGAAACTTATCGGGCCTTAACTGTCCCAGAGACCGGACAGATGCTGCCTCCGATGACTATGCATCCTCTGCTGGCTCACCACATGTAATATTGAAACACGCGCCAGCCTCCTCCCTCTTTCACGCTCGCACCGTTTCAGTCTCTTTCTGGTCCGAGATGATTCAGCGTATGTCTGAGAATACATTAACCACCATGCTACGTCAATGCTACCGCCGTTTTCCACGAGTCAGATATGGATTTTAAAACTGGGCTCAGTGCAAGAGTTGGTAAAGTAGCAGATCTTTAAATGGAATAACGAGTGCTGACAGCTGAGGTCCAAAGGTTAAGTGCCTCCAACTGAAGAATGACTGTGGGCATTAGGAAAATTGGTGGAGTTTTAACACGGCACAGATGGATTCGCTTTTGTCTCAGCGCAACGGCTTGTCTGTTTGGCTCAAGGGCTGAAAGTTCAAGAGTACAATATCAAAACCTCTATCAAAACCCAATTATAAACAGGATATCTTATTCCTGCCCCAACATGCTACGTCTTTTGCAGCTTTTGGATGGCAAGAACTGCAAAATAACATAGACAGTGGGCAATTATCAAAGTCATTAGGATGCATTCAATCCTGCTTAAGTAACGTTTTGCCCACTCCCAAAGCAAGCACTGTATAGGTCAGAGAGAGGGAGAGAGAGAGACGAAGCAAAGAAGACTTGGAAGTGATTCAAAATGTCACTTCCAAGTTTGAGAACCGGTTAGACTTGAGCACGTGCAGTGTTGGTGATGCGTCTGTGCAAATGTATGGGCGTGGACGCTGAGCCAGAGGGGCCGTTCCATAGCGGGAGGGAGGTCGGCTGTGTGTACCGGATCAGCTTCATTCACTTTCTAAAATAGAAACGATTGTTGTGTAAGCTTCCAGACCGAGCTTTGGGTGAAGAGAGCCGTAAACTCCTTTAAGGAAGTTTAGTGTCGTACTGTAAAATATGTCTGTGTTGTGAAAGGACTGCTGAGAATATACTGTATCCTGATCTTGAATTAGCGTCAAGGGTTAGAAATATTGCTGATCCTCTTCTTGAGTAACGGTGTCCCTGACATTTGGGACTTTGAGGACTGTGTCGAATTCTTTGTGAAAAGACTTATTCAAGTTTAAGTGTTTTCGTTGTAATGCTAGATAATGTATTTTTAACCCTCCTCTTTCCTCGATCACTTTTTGAGGCTATATCTACTTGAAGCTTACTTGGAACTGAAATCTACCTCATCGGGGCATCTCTAGCATTTGGTGAAGGCCTGTAATGAAAAAAACTTGGGGTTAAAAAGTATTGTTTACGTTATCATATCATATTTATTCATTATTAACTACATTCTGTTCTGTTTAGCTGTGCATACAACTGAGGGATTTTATACTTTTATCTTTCTTTTTAATGTTCTGTGATTATTTATTTTAATGCTTTCTTATTTTATTCAGCACTTTGAATTGCCTTGTGTATGAATTGTGCTATATAAATAAACTTGCCTTGCCTTACATAATCAATGGTAACGGTCACATTGTGAAAGCTGAAATACCTAGAGGTCTGACAAAATTGATTTTTAGATGTATACTGTTATATACTGTTATGCTAAAGATGGAGATTTTATACTTGTTTCTTCTTCATGCTAGAGTTAGAGATGTTTTATTTTATTTGATTAAGTACAGAGTTATTGTTAATTTGTCTTGTGTTGTGTGCTCCTCATTCCTTCTGTTCTGTAACCGGTGACGCAACACTGACATTTCCCCACTGTGGGACTAATCTTGTTGTTTTACATCCTAGGCCCAAACCAATCAGATGGAGGACATTTAATGACACTAGATGCATAGAGACGTAGAAAATAAATCATACCCAAAGAGAGCTAGTGTGAGACATACACCATTATTTCTTAATTATATACAATATAGATATTAGTTTAGTAATATTTACATTTTATTTCAACATTTTCAACATTTTTTCCAGATTTCTTTTGGAGGGATTTTCTTTAAAACATATAAATATATCAATTTAATTTTGATATATAGACTTAATGACAGTTAATCTTTTATGAATTAACTATACATGAATCAATAGTGTTGTAATTATGTTAAAATAGGGTGTTTTTGATAAGGAGCCAAAAGCCTTTATGTTTTACTGAATCAATATTATTAAATTGAAAGTCCCTCATACATATCTTGATACTAATAATACATTTTATTTATAATGCACCTTACATTACCAGGAAACCTCAAAGTGCTATCATACCTCTGCTATCCAAAACCCTCCATCACTTCGCAGACTCTGAAAGACACCAGTCCTCCACATACCTCAGAGTCCCCCGCATCATTCAAGTCCAAACCTTCCCCGAGAGGCCCCTGACAGAGCTCTCTGTGAGACCAATGACACGTGTGAATAGACGAGGCTCCAGTGAGAATGAGCCGGAAAGAACAGGAGCTGAGCAAACACACGAGCTCAGAAAGTCAGGCTGAAATTAAGTTCTGATGCTATTGCTAAAAAGTTATGCTAAAATGCTAAATGTCTTGTGTGCACTTTTAGGACCTTTACATGTATTTTAATGTGGGTTTTACTTTATCTTACTCTTGTATTGAAACTTTTTTGTTGTTGTTTGATTTCTCAGTGTCAGTTTCCTGTGCTTTTGACCTGGTTTTATTTACGTACTTGTCTGTGACACAATGGGGACATTTGCAGATGTATTCCAAGGTGGTTTTTACTGCAAATGGCAAAGAAAATGAATCTGAATCTACTGCAAATGCCAAATAACGTGAAGCTAAACTTGGAAAACACAATTGTTATGCACAAACTCAATTATTCAAGGAAAGACAAGGTTATTTATTTTGTATAGCACAATTCATAAACACAGGGAAACTCAAAGTACTGAACAAAACAAGAGACAGAGACACACAAGGCATTAAAATCCTTCAGTTGTATGCACAGCCAAACAGAACTATTTTTAACCTGGAATTGAACGCAGAGAAGAAGCCTGTCTCACATTTTCAGGAAGACACTGCAGAGCTCAGATTAACTGCTGTTGTTTCACAGTTTTCAGAAGGGTTCATGCTTGTCGATCGTGACTCGCACTTAGACATAAAAGGGGAGAAAGCGGAGCAGCTGAGTCCCGCGGGGCAAAGGGGACACGCCTCCCTGTTGTCTACAGCATTCCACACACACCTGAGGCCCGACACCACGATTGATGTCACGAACACGCCTCCGGACGCGACACGTGCCACTGGTTTACTTATTCAAAAGCGGCTAATGATGCGGTGAACACATTTTATACGATGGAATCACCAGGAAGCTTCAAACGAGACGGATAATTACCACAGCAAATCCAATATACCCAGTAATAACAGTGCTAATAATAACACTTGACCGCGTTATCTTAATTATTATCATTTCAAGTCCAACAATTTCTAATTCTCTGCATAACAACATATAGTTAATTGACAGAGTTTTGTTGACGTACATCTTCACGGCTTATGCAACGGCACAAGAGGACAATACAGTATTTTGAGGTGATCATAGCTGCGTGAGAAAGACTTCCCCTCGAGCGTTTTTTTCTGACGTGTGTTTGTTGATTCAGTTGGTCCTTTCACCTGAGTGAGATTTCAGCCTCGTCATGTGATCCACAGTATGTCTTTGTCAAAAACATGAGTCAGCCATTTTGTACCATGCCAGGTTTAATTGAGGGGGCAGGTGAAGTTCACTTGGTTTTGTATAAAAATGGTCCGAAAATAGGTGCGAAAATTTTAATTTTAATCATTCAAAGGAAAATATGTGATCTATTTTATATGAAACACAAATCAGACCTCCATTTATCTATTTTACAAGCATGTGTCTTACAGTTGTCCTTGTTTATAGTTTACAAACCCCAAGAGAATGTACTTTTATGTTTTCCACTCACAGTTAGTGGTTTGATGAGGCATTAGTATTTTGTTTTTGGAGAATGGTTGCCTTTTCAAAACTGTGTAAACTTCTGAGCCAAAATCACCAGTGTATGTAAACTTTTTATTAGTGTCATTTTAAGCGGTTTCGTAAAGGATTTAGACATTTCAATATTTCTTGTTTTATTCTCATGCCCGCTGCTATTGTAAACATTTAATTTTGTGCACTGTATATCTATCGGTCTGTTGTGGTGAAGGGGGAGTCGAAAGGCAAAGCTCTCGGTTTGTCAATCTACGGCCCTTTTCTTGTCTCTGGTCATGAGCTTTGGGTAATGACCGAAAGTACGAGATCGCAGATACAAGCGTTCCACATGAGCTTCCTCCATGAGCTCAGTCACACGGGAGGAGCTCGGAGTAGAGCCGCCGCTTCTCCTCATTGAGAGAAACCAGCCTCCCCAGGGTTATGTACCTTGCACGTCCCACTGGGAGGAGACCAGGTGAAGACCCAGGACTTTGGATTCCCCCTGATAACCTGGAGGAAGTCTGGCCGATAATGGATAATAAATGGATGATAATTTGATACAGATGATAATTTGTTACAGAAATTGACAGAAATGCGCATGAAATATAAAAATATACCAGTCAGTGTATTTAAACTTAGATTTCTTTTTCTTGATATTTGTATTTGTGATATTTCCAAAGGCTTGCAACACAAACTGAAAATCAGAGCAGTACATATAGTTGAATACATGAATTTCTACATAATGACTCCCATTTTATGCTTCATAAATCACGCCTTAGCATTTGACCCTGACCATGGGAAGAAATGCGTTTCACAGTTTCCAAGACAAACCCAAAGAGGCCCACAGAACGTTAAAGCTTTCCAGAGATTTGTGTATCGGAATAAATCACTATGATAACTAGAGCATATCATTGGAGTAACGTGTGTTCTGTGTGGTTCTGCAGGTCGGAGCGCTGGCCAACAAGGGCTCTCGCTGCCTCTCGGGCAAGTTCACCAGCGGCGGGGAGTGTTGCAAGCAGTGTCAGCCCGGAGAAGGTGTCATCAAAGAATGTGGGGTCACGCAGACGGTGTGCGCGCCCTGCGTCGACAGTGAGTGACAGATACAGTTACAGCAGAACTCGGCTCCACTTCAGCAGAAAGTAACAGCTGCTGGTGTGAGGGCAGTGAGATTTTGTTTTAATTATTGACAGTTATTTATTTATTGTTTTAATTATTCACATTTATTGACAAACAATGATCGCAACAGTCACATATATTTGACGCTATATGACTCCCAGATTTCTGAAACAGCTTTTTGACGGCCCCCATTCCCAATTTCTCAGCAAGAAGGTCCCGGGTTCAAATCCTGGTCGGGACAGGGCCTTTCTGAGTGGAGTTTGCAAGTTTTCCCTGTGTCTGTGTAGGTTTCCTCCGGGTGCTTCGGTTTCCCCTACCACTAAAAACATGCACAATAGGTCTGAATGGAATGAGAGAGTGAGTGAATGGTGTTGATTGGAGGCTTTGATGCTCCAGTGTGTTCGGTGACTCGCTTCCGTCATCACAGAACATTGCGAAGCGCTTTGGTGACCTCGGTCTGTAAAGCGCGCTATATAAGTAAACATTACGTTACTTACTTGAGAGTGAGAGACAAATGCCCAAAAATAACAATTGTAAACCGCTTTGTGACTCTGGTCTGTGAAAGCCGGTATATAAATAAAGATTACTTACTTACTTATTAAATAGAAAAAAAAAAAAATGTTTTATTTGTTTAAGTTTTGTTTCATTTGTTTCATTACTTAGTGCTAAAACTGGTTCATACAACTGAAATACAGCAAAAAATACTTAAAAAATAAATGCTAACTACTCTAAAAGTAAAGTGAAGTAAGTGTGTTGCTATGGTAACTAGTACTTGATTCCCGCTGAGATCGCTTTGAACCAGCGCCTTGAGAAGAGTTCACAAATGAAAGGAACAGTCAAAATGACGGCTTTGCGAGTTAAAGGAACTACTGACATTTAGAGATAAAAAAGGATAATAATAATTACATTGACTACAAACAGAACGTGTCATCAAGTTAAAAACACACAACTTTGCAATCAAGTAAAATCATAATTAGTTCACGGTTAACAACTCTATAGTTACAGTCAAGTTTCACAACGTTTAGAGCCCAGAGCGAGTTACAGAGTGTAAAGTGTAAACTGTGGTTGTGTCCTTAGGCAAGACACTTCACCCACATTTTTTAGAGAATGAGTCTGGTGTGGGTGTGAATGGCTGGTGTTGGTGGAAGGGGCCGATGACACATTATGGTTGCCTCGCTTCTGTGTGTGTCCCAGGGCAGCTGTGGCTACTGTAGCAGTGTATGGAATGAAAGAGCACTTTATAAAACACATGCGTTATTATCATTATTATCATTACTACATGATTTTCACAAAAGCTAACAAGAGCCAGATACATTTCTTCTACATATTTATATGAATAATGCAGTAAATTATGTCTTTATAATATCATGACTGAGGCTAAACTCGTCCGCCAAGAAAAATCTCTCTTGTGCAGACTATAATTATGTCCATGTTTACTTTAGTTGAGTAATGACCTGAAACAACTTTGCTTTTCTGAATAATACATTTCCTTCTCTTTGTCTTCTACTTTTGATCTTCTCACAGCTAAACTATATTCATACTCTTTATTCTTCATCGTTTGCATTTGACCCATCCACGGAGGCCTTTGGGGACCCTCCAGCAGCAGTAGGCAGGCTTCACTTTAGCGAGAGGATTGTACCTTTTGTCCGTGAGTGAAACCAGAGCGCCCAGAGGAAACCCTGCAGACAAAGGCAGAAACAAACTCTCTCCGGCCTGGGATTTTTCTCTGCGAGGCCCGAGAGCTGTGCGGCGGCGTGAGAGGCATAATTATTGATTAGGCGTAAAATGTTCTGGACAATCCAACCACAAAGCAATCAAGCTATAAATCCAACTAAACATCAAATACAAGAATAGAGCGGATTAGAGTGCGACGGCTGCGGTGATCTCACGTCACATGAACAAGAGGCTGCTTGTCCACAACACTCTTGATCTTATTTGACTTTTCAGTGATTTCACTTTGACTTTGATGCTGAATGTCATTTGCAGTCGTTCAGAAAGACGACAACCACAGTGTGACCCAGATCTGTTTGTAGTCATTTATGAACTGATGATGAGAAGTAAGTTTGATACACAGTAAGTGTTGTTGTCCGACTCCATCACATTAATATATTTATATTCATCAATGACTCACTCCACACAAAACTGCACCAATGTGTTACATTTGGGTCGAAAAAGTCCTGAAATGTTCCTGCCGAATAATCGCAGATCCACTCTTGTTTTGTTCCAGCTTGTTTGTCCAGTGAAAGGGGCACCACTTAAACACTGATTTGTTCACGCCCGTACTATCAGTGCTCCAACCGTTTTGGACACAAAGTGTTACGTCCAAAACGCCCAGTTTGTCTGCAGTTATTGAATCACATATTTTTTCGCATAATGTACAATCTATGATTAGGGATTGATTATAGTTATATCCCCGACCATTCACCATTAAAGAGACTTCTATGTCCTGTTAATTATTCCATTCATAAAGCCTCCAACATCCATCCATCCATTTTCTTCCCCTTAATCCATTTCTGGGTCGGGGGGTGGCTGTCAGGGCTTCACCCAGTACACTTACAGTGGCACCAGCCCCTCACTGATCCTCCTGCAGGTGGTGAGTCCACAGGAGCTGAGATATTTAAGCGGGAGCTTCAGGCAAAGTAGGGTTAAGTGTCTTGCCCAATGACACAATGACAGCAGTCATCAGTGGGAGTCGTGAAGTAGGTCTCAAGGTGGGCTCAAACCCACGACCTTCAGGCTCTAAGGCCAATGCTCTACCAACTGAGCCACTACATGCCTCCAACACGACATGTCCTAAAAGTAACAATTGTACCTCATTAAACAGTTGTTGAGTTCACATTCCCAGACACAGATTGCATTTTTTTTGGCCATATTTTGGAGATTATAACAATTTATTCTCTCATCATTAGTGCTTGAGTAAAGACATATTGTTAGAATAAAGATTATTTTTGACTCCTAACTCCGCCCTGGGGAGAGCTCAAACATACATTGATTCAAGGCAGCCCAGAAATTGACAGAAACTGGCCTCAAAAAGAATGTGAGGCTTTACCATCGGAGGATAACGAACCATTTAAACTTAGACTTAAAGCTTCATCGATGTTAAAGGGGAAACACACTGTTGAGACCTGGGGGATGGAGACTTCTGATTGAAGAGTGGTTTCTGTTGTCATTAAACTATTGTAGTGTTGTCATAAACATGTTTAAAAATAGAACACATTTATTTGACATTTGACCTCCAAAAAATGCCCAAAACACCATTTCTGTACAAAACACAACTGTATGTACTGTATGTACGCCACGTTGTTTTTTTAAAAATGTATTATTGGGCGTCTGTGGCCTGTTCTACATAATTTAAAGCTTATTGATGTTAGCTTATTTATTTATAGATGGATAAACTTTATTGATCGCACAATGGAGAAATTCAGTTTGATGAATAAACATCATCAAGACATGCAGCGTAATATTACTTCCGCGCTCCTTTAAAGCTAACATCAATCATTTCATTCCAAAGATTGAACCCAAAATATCAAAAAGTTGAAAAAAATAAAAAGAAAGAAAATGTATCAAAATAGATGATAATGAATAATTCATTTAAATACTCATACGTAAAAGATATAAACTCCTTTGCACAAATGAGAATGAAGGAGATCTTGGTAAAAACGGTGAGGGCTGAAAACCGAGCCCCTGCGTCTGGCCCCTGTGGACCCTGTGCACCCAGAGGTCAGACGCATGGGAAAGATTTGTTTCCCTTTAACTCCGGGGGGTAGTAGTGCCGTGTCCACTCAGTTCAGGGGGTAACACGGGCGTGAAAAAGGTTGGGAACCACTGGTCTAGTCAAATAAAGTCCTTTCCAGCTGATGAAGGATCTGATTAAATAAGTTTCTACTCATTCACCCCTCTTCTTCTTCTAACCCTTCTTCTTCTTTCTCTAATATTTTTTCTAACCCTTTTTCTTCTTCTAGTCTTCCTATTATTCATTATTAATATATCTTATTGCTCTTGTTATGTATTTATGTGTACATCTTTGAGTGTCTTGTTTTGGTTACGTTTTGTGACTCGTCATGTACGAAATGAAAAACATATATACAGTATATATTTCCCATGTTAAGAAAAGCCTGTTTCATGACTGGCCTGGATCTCAGCCGGCTGGTAATAAACTATACTTGCACCATGTGTCTTTGCCCTCTGCACGGCCTTACCATGTAGGGAGAGGAGAGAGATCCAGAGATAGGACGGATTGAAGCGAGAGACTTTAACCAAATGTTGTGGTAAAGAGATTTGTTTGGTGTCAGAGGTGTTTCATTCATTGGGCGAGAGAGAGAGAGAGAGAGAGAGAGAGAGACACCAGATCTCAAAAGTATATTTAGCCGAGCATACGTCTCCATTTGAGAGTGAGAGTCAGAGGTGAGTCGAGCAGAGGTCAGCGTCGCTCATCTCTCTCTCTCTCTCTAGCTCTATCTCTCTCTTTTTATCTCTATCTCTCTCTCTCTAAATCTATCTCTCTATCTCCTATCTCTAGCTCTATTTTTATCTCTATCTCTCTCTATTTCTATATCTATCTCTATATCTCTCTATCTCCTATCTCCTATCTCCTATTTCTATCTCTCTCTATCTCTCTCTATCTCTCTCTATCTCTATCTCTATCCCTCTATATCTCTCTAGCTCTAGCTCTCTCTTTATCTCTATCTCTCTCTCTCTAAATATATCTCTCTATCTCTCTCTATTTCTATCTCTATAACTCTATCTCTCTCTATCTCTCTATCTTTATCTCTCTCTATCTATCTCCTATCTCTCTATCTCTCTATCTCTATCTTTATCTCTATCTCCTATCTCTCTCTCTCTCTCTCTTTCTCTCTCTCTCTCTGTCTATCTCTCTATCTCCATCTCTCTGTCCACCGTTTCCCTGTGACCACAGAACATTTTCTGGCTCCTCAAACCAGGAAGTAGTTGTAAACCTTTGAGGGTCAGTGGAGGATGGACCAAAATGGCGGCATATGTTGGAACCAGATTCAGACTCGGGTCGTGAGAGAAGTCACGGCAACGCAGACGTGAAGATGATTTATTATTAGTTTGTGGGATTTCTTTTGGAAGAAAAACAGTTTGGAGAAAGTCCCTAAAGCTTGAGATAAGTCTGTTTTGTTTCCATCGATGTGTGACACAGACCTCTGCGTTTGACTGCTTTCATGGAAACTTTTATTTTGTGGTATTTTGCTTTTAACATTTGAATGTAGTGATGTGTGTCATTAACTTCTGCTCATCCTTTCTTTAGTCGTCAGATTTAGACTCACTGTATCAGAAACCCATCCATCCATCCATCCATCTTCTTCCCCTTAATCCATTTCTGGGTCGGGGGGGTGGCAGTCAGAGCTGCACCCAATTCACTTAGCACCAGCCCCTCACTGACCCTCTGCAGGTGGTGAGTCCACAGGAAGACGGCTGCTCTGTCAGTGACAATACAGCCTTGATTTTTCAGCGGGGGCTTCAGGCAATGCAGGGTTAAGTGTCTTGCCCAAGGACACAACGACAGCAGTCATCAGTGGGAGTCGGTGGAGAAGGTCCCGTGGTGGGCTTGAACCCACGACCTTCAGGCTCAAAGGCCAGTGCTCTACCAACTGAGCTACTGTCGCCCCTATGTATCAGAAACCCAATAGTCCACAATAGTCATCAGGATGAGGCAGAGCGGGGTAAGTTACTTAAAACTTACTTAGTTACAGTCTCAAGAGAGTTACTGAGTTACTTTACTCTGGGATTTTTATATTTATAAAAATCTATATCAAAACACTTGTATAATCCCTAACTAAATATAATGAGTACTTTGATAGTAACTGTAATCGTTACACTACTTAGTTAAAAAGTAGTTATTGTTTGTAGTTAGACCCATCACTGATTATGTACAATTATTACACGGCTCCTCACAGCAGCAGGAAAACGCTCCATTGTTTTGAAGGTAATTTCAAAGTGTTCTACCGGTCATTATTTCTTTATAACCGACCTCTCTAGACAATAATGACTGCTGCCCTTTGGCAACGCACTCTCTGCTTGTAATTCAGATGTGTAGATTACTCCGCAAGTACTCCTGAGATAGCCACGCTCAATAAAAGCAAATACCAATTAATCAACACAATTAAATGTTAATCGGAGAATACATTATACATATACATTCTTAATACACATGCACAGAGGTTTTCAGAAGTATCTGTTAAGGTTCTAATAGCAAAAATACTGTTTTAATGCGAGAAAAAGCGATCGCGAAGAACCCGGAAGAAGATTCCAGGACATTTTAGGAATATTTTCAGAGGATCAAATTATGGATTTAGGTTTATGTTTGGGTCACTCACCGCTGATGTTCAGAATTCTTTGTTCAGTTTCCATGCAGTTCAAGAGTGTTCTAGTTTGGAAGTTGCTAGCCTAACTGTTACTCGCAAAGCCGTATAATAAGCGGGATAGTAGTAGTAGTAGTAGTAGTAGTAGTAGTAGTAGTAGTAGTAGTAGTAGTAGTAGTAGTAGTAGTAGTAGTAGTAGTAGTAGTAGTAGTAGTCTTTTGAGTGTAAAAAAAAAAATCACTTTATAAGTTTGATGGAACATTCTTCTTCTTATTATTATTATTATGTTTATTTCATACTGGCTTCTTTGAACTTTTTCTTCTGACTGGTTGTTGGAATTCATGAAATCTTAAAGGAATAGTTCACCGTTTGTACATACTGACATATGTTCTTACCTTACCTTAGACTAGTTAATACGTACCTGTCTGGTCTTAGTCCGTGCGCTCTGTCATGCAAACGGAGCAAAAACGGGAGCACAAATGCAGCCTCCTCTGTATATTTTGTAGCACCAAAAGGTAGCTCCCGCTAGAAGCTACCAAACTCTTCCAAGTGTTCCCTATTAAATGTATATAGTTACGTGACGTGTTACACTGCAAAGTATAGTAACACAGAAATGTAACAGTCGATTTTCTCAGCGGATAAAACGGGTACTATATTGTGAGGCGTAGTAATCTGAGTAGCGCTACGTCCGCGCACTAACTTCTCTCCGGAGACTTCTCTCTCGCTGCTACTGTGTGTACTACAAGTCACGCTGCTTCTATTGACGGAAGTGAGCGAGAGAGAAGTCTCCGGAGAGAAGTTAGTGCGCGGACGTAGCGCACCTCAGATTACTACGCCTCACAATATAGTACCCGTTTTATCCGCTGAGAAAATCGACTGTTACATTTCTGTGTTACTATACTTTGCAGTGTAACACGTCACGTAACCATATACATTTAATAGGGAACACTTGGAAGAGTTTGGTAGCTTCTAGCGGGAGCTACCTTTTGGTGCTACAAAATATACAGAGGAGGCTGTGTTTGTGCTCCCGTTTTTGCTCCGTTTGCATGACAGAGCGCACGGACTAAGACCAGACAGGTACGTATTAACTAGTCTAAGGTAAGGTAAGAACATATGTCAGTATGTACAAACGGTGAACTATTCCTTTAACAATTCACAACACGTCTGATTAACTCATATAACATAAACATGTGAAAAACCATGGAATAGATTTGTCCCCTTCAGAAACAGACGTGTTCATGAGAGGAGACAGGTGTGTGACATCACTGAGCACGTTCTGAATGTGCATGAATGAACAGAAGAAGAAGAAGAGTCCCAGTCCAGCTGCTTCCTCCTCCAGTGCATAAACATGTCAGGGCAAAAAAACAAAAATCATTAGGAAGCCACACAGCAGACCTCACCGTTTCTCCTTTCCCTCCGACTCTGGACTCCTACAATCAGCAGCAGCTCAAGCCTGACAGCTCCAGATCCTTTTATGGGCCATAAAAACAAAGCTGCTGATTGACTGTTGGACTGCAGCGAGGGCCTTGTTTTGATTCTAAATGCTGAGCCAGGACTAGTAGCCTGTATCTCCTCCCTCCTCTCTCTCTTCATACTCCAGGCCAGCGTTATTAATGTATTGACTTGCATTATTGATGTGTGGCATTATGATAATGGCCCTGAGAGCACCAGTGGGACATGGGGGAGGGTCTGTGTTCTGGAGGATAATGGGGGACAGTAACAGGATGGACTCTCAGCATCAGTCACGGCTTCCTTCCTTCCTTCCTTCTTCTTGTCGTTGCTTCTGTCTTTATCTGATCTGCATAGTTTGTGTTATCTTTTGTTGAATCTTTTGCGTGTGCGTCTGTTGTGCCGGTGGGCCACTTACCCCTAAATGTGATACGCTACACGCCGATGAACTTCGAAAAGTTGTAGAGCGAGTTATTTTGCTGCCACACACGCAGTTTGTGTGTTTTTGTGTTATCACATTTGTACGCACACAGGTAGATGTGGGGTTAGGGTTATTATTGTAAACGTCTGTAACAGTTGCCAAAGTAACACTTCAGTTCATTGTGTGTATTTATTAATCTCATAAAAGTCGGGAGAAGAGTTGTTGTGCATGTTGTGCAGCTGAAGCGTTCCGTACAAATGGAGTTGTTGCATAATTTAGTGTGTTTCCCAGTTCTCTGTCCAGTCGAAATACAATTCCATAAAACATAGAGTATTGATTGTGTCCTTTCTGTGGATATATTTGTCCGAGGACGTCTTTTTGGAACGAGAGCCATTTTGAAAGCTCTGTGTGATTTATACAAGAGTCTCGTTACAGGATCTAAGTTTGTTCAGCTTCAAAAGTTTTTAGGAAACAAAATATGTTGTAAATTTACTTATACTAATAAAAGTGTCCGATAGGATGTAGTTCTGTAGTGATTATTATGGCTCTTGATTAGCTTTAGCTTTGTGAGACATGTTTTCACGTTTTGTAACTTTCGAATGGTTTGATGCCATCTGTTTGCAGGTGAGACGTTCTCAGAGAACTTCAGCCACACAGAGAGGTGTCAGCGCTGCACTCAGTGCACCGGGCTGATGAGGATGGAGACGCCCTGCACCGATGCCAACGACGCCATATGCGCCTGTAACTATGGTTACTACCTGAACAGCCTGACGCAGCGCTGCGAGCACTGCACCCGCTGCCCCGAAGGCCACGGGATGCTGATGAGCTGCGAGATGGAGCGCGACACCGTCTGTGAGGAGTGCACCATGGACACGTACTCAGACCAGGAGAGCTCCAGAGAGCCCTGCATGCCCTGCTCCACCTGCGAGGAGAGCGCCACGGTCCAGGAGTGCAGCCCCGTCAGTGACACCGTCTGTGAGGGTGAGTACTGCAGCTGCTGCCACTGTAGCTACTGCTGTTTCTGAGGTTACTGATGTTACTGATGTTACTGTTACTGCTGGTGCTACTGCTGGTGCTACTGCTGCTGCTACTGATGCTACTGCTGCCACTACTAGCTCTTTGATGGATGAAGCCCTGCTTCCGGGCGACAGGTGTTTACCTCATGATGCACCTCTTCACAGAGTCCTAGGTCTTCGGTCCAAAGGTTCATTAAGATAAATGGGTCATTTGCAAAGATGTGTTTATTCACTCTCACAGAGAAGGCCGAGCGTTCCACTTACTGTCTGTAAATCATGTCTACACATTCACAGTCGTCTGTTTGTTCCAACTGCTGAGACCGTAACCTCGGTTTACACTCAGAGGGATTCACATGGCCGTTCAGGATGACGAGGGGAATTCCTGTAAAGAAACAAATAATTCACTTGTTTCGACGTTTGCACATTCTCGCTCTGCTGCAACACACTGGGCATTTACCACACTGCGCTCGCTAACAGAACTGATGAAATACTGTGGATCATTGATATTTCTCTCTGTATCGACACGTGTGTGCGTCTGCATCGTCCACATACTGTATATCGACTCATCGGAGGGTGACACTATGGACATTGTTGGACTTAAATGTCAGAACGCAGCTCGTCACAATGAGCTCACGGCGTCCAGCTCGACCGGAGAGCGCGCTGCTCTGTCTGAAGGGTTTAGGAGAAGGTCACTCCTCTGGGTTTCCTTTATATCACGGCTCCTCATGAGGATCAGACCCACACCACACATTCCTCTGGACTGCAGTCACCGCGACCCCATGTTTCGTAGATTAAATCAACGCTTTTTGTGACGAGGACAAGAAAGAGGCTGTTGATGTGCAGAAGAGGGGTCAGAGCGGTGGTTCTGCAGGATGCTGTTATCTCAGAGGGGGAGGCAGGAGTCAGAGGGGGAGGTAGGAGTCAGAGGGGGAGGCTGGAGTCAGAGGGGGAGGCTGCAGAGTCAGAGGGGGAGGCTGCAGAGTCATAGGGGGAGGCTGCAGAGTCAGAGGGGGAGGCTGTAGAGTCAGAGGGGGAGGCTGTAGAGTCAGAGGGGGAGGCTGTAGAGTCAGAGGGGGAGGCTGTAGAGTCATAGGGGGAGGCTGCAGAGTCAGAGGGGGAGGCTGTAGAGTCAGAGGGGGAGGCTGTAGAGTCAGGGGCAGAGGCTGGAGTCACAGGTGGAGGCTGCAGAGTCATAGGGGGAGGCTGCAGAGTCAGAGGGGGAGGCTGTAGAGTCAGAGGGGGAGGCTGTAGAGTCAGGGGCAGAGGCTGGAGTCACAGGTGGAGGCTGCAGAGTCATAGGGGAGGCTGCAGAGTCAGAGGGGGAGGCTGTAGAGTCAGAGGGGGAGGCAGGAGTCAGAGGGGGAGGCTGTAGAGTCAGAGGTGGAGGCTGCAGAGTCATAGGGGGAGGCTGCAGAGTCAGAGGGGGAGGCTGTAGAGTCAGAGGGGAGGCTGGAGTCAGAGGTGGAGGCTGTAGAGTCAGAGGTGGAGGCTGTAGAGTCAGAGGGGGAGGCTGGAGTCAGGGGGGAGGCTGGAGTCAGAGGGGGAGGCTGTAGAGTCAGAGGGGGAGGCTGGAGTCAGAGGGGGAGGCTGGAGTCAGAGGGGGAGGCTGCAGAGTCAGAGGGGGAGGTTGTAGAGTCACAGGGGGAGGTTGTAGAGTCAGGGGCGGAGGCTGGAGTCAGGGGCGGAGGCTGGAGTCAGGGGCGGAGGCTGGAGTCAGAGGGGGAGGCTGTAGAGTCAGAGGGGGAGGCTGTAGAGTCAGAGGGGTAGGGTGTAGAGTCAGAGGGGGAGGCTGTAGAGTCAGAGGGGGAGGCTGTTGAGTAAGAGGGGGAGGCTGTTGAGTCAGAGGCGGAGGCTGTAGAGTCAGAGGGGGAGGCTGTAGAGTCAGAGGGGGAGGCTGTAGAGTCAGAGGGGGAGGCTGTAGAGTCAGAGGGGGAGGCTGTAGAGTCAGAGGGGGAGGCTGTAGAGTCAGAGGGGGAGGCTGGAGTCAGAGGGGGAGGCTGTTGAGTCAGAGGCGGAGGCTGTAGAGTCAGAGGGGAGGCTGTAAAGCCAGAGCGGGAAGCTGTAAAGCCAGAGGGGGAGGCTGTAGAGTCAGAGGGGGAGGCTTCTGAGAGACTCCCATGATGCCGTTGGTCTGTGTGGCTCACAGTGGGGTCACTGTCAGGGGAACATGGATTTGATTTTAATAGATTGTGGTCTCATTTGTTCCCTGCCCCTGGACACATAATGGAGTTAACCCTCTCCAGGCAGGTGTTGTAGATTTGCAACAACTTCCTTTCTTATTACCAAAATACTCCACATCCATATTTTTGTCCCTTTCTTATTCAGAAGAACCACTGCTGGACTTTGTTGAGATTTAGCAACACACAGTTCTCCACCTGTTTACCAGAGGGCGGAGCTGTCTCACTTCCAAAATGTCAGTCTCGTAATTTTCACCAAAACCGACTTTGTTGGCATCAATTTCAAGTCAGTGTCACTAATGACCTCTAATAATTTGAAACCAAAATGGCATACAATAAAAGATGAATATAAATAGATACAGTACATGCCAATTATATCTCTGGGGTTTTCCCTGAGTCAGCTATAGTTACCACAACAGCCAATGTTGCAAATCTGCAACATCCCGGAATGCATTGCCTGTGAAGGTCTTTCTCTCAAAATAAGGATTGTATACTACTACCTCATATGATAATTTTCTCCAAATATCAGATTTGAAAAACTTTTTTCTATGTTTTTCTTATTTCATCATCATCATCATCAAACTTCTGATACAGACTTATGGTCACATCACATATCATTTAGTAAATAGTCTAATTTACCTTCTGAAATTAATTCCAATTAAGATTCTTCAAACTGAAACGTACATTACAGAAGTCTTATATGTGATTTAAAATACTATACTATTATATTACTACTGCAGACCCCAGTTCCACACTCATGAATGATGCTTTGCCCGTTCCCTCCAGCCGCAGCTCCGTCACCCATTCAGGATCTTATTTAGCTTGAATTGAGTCTTGGTTTTAAAAGGGCTTATGTCACTTATGACCCGTCTGTAGATGGAGATAGGAAGCAAACCAGAAGTCGAAAAAGCCTCCTTTAGTTTCCAGCCCCTCTGCATTAGGGCCTTCATCTTTCCTCCCTCTAACTCGATCACCCGGCTCTCGATTTCTAATGCAACAAGTGTTATCAGTGTGTACACATCGGCCGCACTGCCAGACGGCCATTAGTGTAGAGCCAGGCGACACAGGGCACGCAGGCCACGCGGGAAACACAGCCCTCGAACTGCTGCCATGAGGAGGAGCAAGGCCACTGCCCCAGAAACACAAGACAAGTCCAAACACGTGATATTAGAAATACTTCAGTCAGAGCGCAGAGGGATGAGAACTTTACCTTGGCTGCACTTTGGGGTTATCTCATCTGGAAGATTTATGGTTTTGAGTTTTAGCTCAGTTTTGTGGCGTTATTCAAGCTGATCTTAATTAGCTTTTGATGTCAGGTACATACAGCACAAAAAAAAATATATACAGTATATACACATACACTTACATATACATATACATACACATGCACTTAGATAAACATACTGTATATACATAAACATATACATACACATACAGGGTACATACATATACACATACGCTTACACGAAGACACACACACATATATGCATACAGTGTACATACATATACATATAAAAAATACACATACACAAACACATACATACACATACAGCACATAGTATTGTTATTGCCAGTGTGTGTTGTAAGCCAGTCTTAACAATACAGTTAGACGTCCTGGAAGAGAACCCCTACTGCGTTTTTCAGGCTGTACTTTGATCTACTACTACTAAAACTAAGTGTGTTTTTATTTTTTTCCTTTGAATCATACTTATTATTTTCCTCTTTAGTGTCTTTTCACAGATGTTAAAGTGTGTCTGAAAGAGGGCGGATCAGGGCAGTGTGTGTGCTGTAGGTCTCTTCCCTGGTGTATTTGTCTTCAGGTCATGAGCCTCCTCTTGGGGACACAGCTGACATGTCATGTGAACGCTTCCTCTGCCCCAGATGGGATTAGTGCTTTGGTTCAGGACATATTAGAAGGAGCTCAAGTCTTTTTGATTCTCTTTGACTAAAACATGGACCCCCGTCGCTGAGAGCAGATGCTTATCTGAGAGAAGTGTGATATGACTTCTACTCTTTTGTCGGCCGCTGAGCAGGGCCAGGGGCCAAAGGGCGACTCTGGCTCGTATGGAAGTGGGGGTCTTTGGTGAAAGATCAGGGAGTATAAGTTTACCCCAGGGAGGAGCACTGAGCACTGGAGCAATCCTTCTCAGAGCCAGCCTTTGCTCTTTAGCGTTTTTGACATTTTTGCCTTTTTCACTTTCTCTGCCATTCTCTGTGTAACAACAGATAAATAACTAATTATGGATCATTTATTGCAGTTTATAGACTCTGAAAAAACAATGAAATACCAGTGTCACATTTCCATTTGAACCTTTTTTATCATATATTTCACCCTGTTTCTGGTAGGTCAATAATTCATGTTGAAAATGTGACTTCTGTAGCAACCTTGTCAATCACTAACTCGATTTGCTCGGGAATAATGGTTTGGAATTGCACCAAAAAGATAGTGCTACAAACTGGGAGCGGTGGCAAGTCGTGATAACGGTCCCTGACGAACCCCTTTCACGTTCACTTCAGCTATCAGCTCTTTCAAAGGTTATTTATGAACCACTGATAAAGAAAAGTTATTCAGAATGCTGCATGGGTCAAAGACTATATGTGTGTGATCACTTATTGTTTATTGTTTTATGGTGTGTAGCTCCTCACTTTCCAGTTAATAGCCTGTCCCGCCCTAATGTGTGTCCCTGTGTGTATTTAGACCCTGTGATCCTCTACTTGTGTGTCTGTGTGTGTGTTTGGACCCTGTGCTCCTTTAGTTGTGTGTATTTAGACCCTGTGCTCCTCTGGTTGTGTGTCCCCTGTGTGTATTTAGACCCTGTGCTCCTCTGGTTGTGTGTCCCCTGTGTGTATTTAGACCCTGTGCTCCTCTAGTTTCCTGTCCCTGTGTGTATTTAGACCCTGTGCTCTTGTGGTTGTGTGTCCCTGTGCTCTGCTCCCCTTGTTTTTGGTCCATTGCGTTTTTGTCCATGTTTTGTCCTGATCTTAGTTTGAGTTTGGAGTTCTTATATCCCAAATTGTGTTATTTTTTGTTATTTTTTATTTATTAAATCCTTATCTTTTATGTCAGTCTTGCATTTTGGATCCTTCTTCCGTTTTTCTCCACTTAACACCAGAATAAAGTAGAAAAGCTCCCAGTCCTCTCTCTATGTACATGAAGATTCCACTGTCCACATGAGATCAATGCAGCTGATCGATCATCACAGATCAGCACATGGCATATGGAGGATGAAGGTCGAGGGTGTGGTGAAGAGGAAGCTGCCGGGGGGTGGAGGGGGTAGTGAGGGAGTGGAGGCCAAGTGCATTTGGTTATTGAATGGAAGAGGTGAGTAGCACTGAGGAGGGGGCACTTCCTTCCTGAGTTTGGTTGACCTTAACGATCGTCAGTCTGCCCTCGAAATCACAAAGCAAAATCTGCTAACAAGATCCATGCACTGCACTCACGGCCTGTCCGACCAGATCACTGTGGAGGAGTAGGAGAGGGGAGTAGGAGGAGGAGGAGGAGAGGAGAGGGGAGGTGAGAGGGGAGGACTGGGAGGCATGAATGAGGATCCTGAATAGTCCATGCAAAGTTAATTTACTCTGCAATAAGTCAAATATTATCCTTGGTTACAGTGAGTTCTTAAATTGTACACAAAGTAGGTTCGTTCATCAAAGTAAAATACATGCATCAGCTCCAAATGACATAGATGGACTGAAAGAGAGTTACAGAAAGAGAGACTAGAGATAGACCAGATGGAGAGACCAGAGAGAGACCAGAGTGAGACTAGAGTGAGAGACCAAAATGACTTGACATAAAATGATTTAGAGTCCAGGGAGAGTCCAGATAGAGACCAGATAGAGACCAGATAGAGACCAGATAGAGGGACCAGATAGAGTCCAGATAGAGTCCAGATAGAGTCCAGATAGAGTCCAGATAGAGTCCAGATAGAGTCCAGATAGAGTCCAGATAGAGTCCAGATAGAGACCAGATAGAGACCAGATAGAGACCAGATAGAGACCAGATAGAGACCAGATAGAGACCAGATAGAGACCATATAGAGAGACCAGAGAGGGACCAGAGAGAGACCAGAGTGGATAAAGAACTTCATCCCCAAGACTCCAAACTTCAAATATGTTAAAGGGGAATTGCAGACTGTTCAGAAGTAACTTCACATCACCACATACAATGAGGGAGAAAAGGACAACTGCATATAATAGTATTTAAATTCAGAGAAACAACACATTTGACATAAAATAGTGTTGTGGAAAATTCCGCGTCTCCCGTGGTGCACACCGGGGTAGTCTTGCACAGTTTTTCCAATGTGGTTTTACTGCAAATGGCAAATAAATGAATCTGAATCTGAATCCTGTCTCTCTTTGTGTTAAGGATCAAATGTCTGACGCCTTGGTGAAGTTGGAGAAAAAAGGTGTATTCTTTGTTCCAGTCTCTGAGCTCTCAGTCCATTATCCAGAAGAATAAAGATTCACACATGACTTGGATATCTGCTTGGCTGATTTGCGGTCTGATATTTTCCCATCTCGGACCGTTACCATGACAATAGGTCCGCAGCGCGTATCACATTTGATATCTTTCCTCAGTAAAAAAGAAATAATGAGAGACGACTGGGAGCATTCTCCAGTGAATTCTATTATCAGGACGAGTTCGAAGAGCCAGAGGAAGTGATAACAGCAAATAACGACGAAAACACAACTAACAGTCTAGAAGAGACTGACAACTTCATTACAGACCAGAAAGGTAAAAACACGATTAGGAAAACCAAGAGCGGACATGAACATACTTCACAAATATCTAAAAAGCATTGGTAACGACACAGAAGAGATTGAGAACTTACAGCGGGCGCCTTAATCATCTGATAAGCAAGTTCTCCATGTCACCATTTGACAGTTTGGTTGCATGTGTTCTTGCTAGTTGAAACCGATCAATATTTGCACAAATTAAAAATAGTCATATAATAAAACATTTATTATCCTCGCTTGCTCGGTCTGTACAGAAAAATATCAGACCTTGGTCTTTTTGCACAGACCTCGCCACTGCTCGGTCTGTACAGAAAGGCAGCGGTCTGATATTTCTCTGTACTGACCTCGCGCTCGTTTAATAAGCCGTTAATATCAAAGCGGTTGGTCACAACTACTGCATCTTTACCACAGTTACCTACAGTTACCTACAGTATATAAGTTTCTCCTGCAGAGCGGAGACAGAGGTTCTGATAAGGTTTTATCTTGTTAAATGTACTCTCTGCTTCCAGACTGAAATCAATGATTCACTCCAGCACAGAAGTCATTTGTTGATAACATTAAAACTCATAAATGTCCATCATAGTTTTTCTCTCAGCTGTTATAATAGTTCATAGTGGTGGGAATTGGAAAATAAAGATGATTCGATAGTATTAAAACATTTGGCCGATAACTCAATATTATAGTGATTCTTAACATAATCGACCAGAGTAAACACAAAAGTGAAACAGATATTTAATTATAATTATTTATTTAAATCACAATACGTTTTTATTGTATTGAATTAAATGAGAGCGCAAACTATCGCGATACTGAACAGAATACATGGTTTCCCCACCTCTAGTAGTTCAGGCCTAAAGGCATCAAAATACTTTCAATAATCCTCATTTGTAGAATTCCATGGTTAATACAGTGACATTCCCAGCCTCAGTCACAGACAGGCCGCCATTGATAAACTGAGGATTCAAACCCATTGAAAGTCCGTCCACATCTGCCCTCTTCCTCTTGACCTCTCTGAAACCATGCACACACTGTGAGCGTTGTGAGGCAGAGTGACAGGCCGCCGTCGTACGTCTCCGACTGGAAATGGCCTGGAGTGGCGGCGCGCTGTCTGCCTGGAATGTGCCCTGAACATTCCTGGGGACATATCTGAGAGCTGACGGTGAGGAGGGGAGAAGGGCCTTCCGGGTTCAAGGGTGAGACAGACACTCGTGCAGCTTTGTGCGACCAACGCCTCTCTCTGCATCTTCGGCCTTTGTCACTATCGAGACAGTGGCAAGAATCACAATAACTTTGAGATCGTGGCGGGACATTTCCTCAGAATGCACTACTGCACTATTATTTCATTCTGGAGACTCAAACAGACAAAACATGGGTATTAGAAATGTATATTGGGTGGCCAGTTATCTGAAAATAAATAAATGACACACATGACTCTGAAGACAATATTTTCAAGATTACATTTATTGTTGTCGTACAGAATGTAGTTAGGATTTGGTGCTTAGACCCCGACAGAGCAATACACAACTGCAGAAAGGGAAAGAGATTATGAGATGAAATCCCCTGGGGCCTAGACCCTGGTGGTGGTAGTTCAGGAGAAGGATGAAAGCGCTCTGGCCCGGAACTAGGCGTGGATGGGGAGGAGGAGGGTTGTGGTGTGAATGAAGCTGCTGCTTGGATGGAGCTTCCTCGGGTATGAAGCTGATGTCCTCCCCTTGTCCAGGTTCCAGCTCTTCTGTGTTATTCCGCACATCACGTCAGTCAACAATAAAAAAACTATACTTTTACTAAGTTAGTGATTTCAACACTTTCACTAATACTTTTATAATAGCATGCATATTTTTGCCTTAGTGTATCGAAGACAATGCTTTTGCCACCTCACATGTTTTAATAGCATTGTATACCCGTCTCTACTGAGTGCAATACTTTTAATATTCTTAATTCTGTCAGAAGTGTGCCACGATGATCCTGTTTGAAGTTTGAGATTCAAGTTGACTATATGTAGGGTTTGTCTACGGCAGTTTTCCCCAACCTTTTTGAGCCGTGGCACACTTTCTCATTGAAAAAATCACACGGCACGCCACCAGCTGAAAGTGATTAGGTATTGAAAGTGACATTGGATCGTTTCCAAAGGTACACCGCACATCCTCTTGAGCAGAGGTGTCCAAAACGGTCCAGAAAGGGCTGCTGTGGGATAGGTATTCTGAGTGAGTTCAGTCTTAATCTGAAGATTTGATGAAATGGGTGGAGTCTGCTCTGCTCCGGCTGGGTCTGATAGAAAAACTGCAGCCACAGCGGTTTTCTATCGGCCCTTTCTGGACCGGTTTGTACACCTCTGCTCTTGAGGCACACTAGCGTCCCACGACCCACTGGTTGAAAAACACTGGTCTGCTTGTTGTCGCTGAAGGCTCAATCAGTTCCCTAACATAATTGTTTTATAGGAGGCATTGTAGATAGATATGTTGGGAGAAGCAGATGTATTTGTCCTGTGGAGCAGAGGGAAGGAACAGCTGCTGAGAACGAGTCCTGGTCGATAAATGCGATGGAGTTTCGTGAGGGGCTTCTCCGGTTTCTCTGCGTGACCTCTATCAGAGCCGATCGCTTTCTGCCGCAGCGAAGGCACACACAAAGTCATGGAGCCACACCATGAAGGAAATATGAATAATAACTTTGGAAAAGACTAATAATGTGGATCAAATTATGGTCGAATATGAGTTTTTGTTCTGTAGAGACGGCCTCAAAGTCAAGCCAGCTTTAAATAAAAAAAAAACAATTCACAAGTAACAGAACAGTAAGAATGAATATTAATGATAACACAACTCTATATTTCTTATCTGAACAAAAAACAAAGAATAAAAAGGTATTAATCTGTAAACTCCAGTGCATATAAATATATATTATATAAATATACTTGTTTGTTTACATCTGCACATGAATCTGCAGCACAGTGGGGAAATGCCAGTGTTGCATCAGCAGTTACAGAACAGTAAGAATGAGAAACACACAGCACAAGATAAAAGAATAAGAACTCTATTAAAATGAAAATATAATCTCTATCTGTAATCTGTAACATTTGCACTAAAATCTCTGACTAGCAGTTCCTCAGAGCCCCGAAGCCCCCAAAGACCCCAAAACCGTCTGAAATTGTATTGGAAATGATCAAAAATGTTGCTTTTCCTTTGTGCAACTGCCAGACATCCAAAAACAAAAGATGGCAAAGATGAGTGAAAAATACCTCATTGTGCTTTATTAGCGGCTACATATACTTACTTATACATACTTTTCACTTGACGTTTTATTTGATGCTGGATCAGACAAAAGCTGTGTATTCATATTCCATAATGTACAATCAATGGCTACGCCCAAATGGCAGTGATGTGACGAGGGTTGGAAAAAAGTTTTAGCCCAGGGCCCCCATAAAACTAGGCCGGCATTGTGCTACCAAGTGGACAATAATCTCAATAATGTTTGAAAATGTGGCTTTTTAACATCATACTACGTTAGGGTTAGTACAGGGCTTATATAGAGATGCGGCTAATATATGTATTTTGACTCAAGTTTTAGTAGCTAAAGGGCACACTTGTTTATTGTCAAAATAGACCGGTGGATGAGTACCATGTTGTAACCAGTTAAACCAGTCCTCTGTCTGCTACATTACGACGCAAAAATCTGCGGCTTACATTTAAGTGCGGCCTATATGTAGACAAAATGAACTTTCTTTTAAAAAATTGCTGGTGCGGCTTATATACAGGTGCGCCTAATAGTGCAGAAAGTACGGCCTATAGTTTGTTATTCCCCAGCGCTTCATTGACCCTACGCCTCCACCACTTTGTTATTCTTTTTGTAATGATTTAATTAAAATCTGAGGTCCTAGGGGAGTGCCCAAATCTGGCAGCACATGAGGTTCTGTATTAGCAGGTAGAAGATAATCTATTTACTTGTAGCAACAAAGATACACTTCATGCCTGGTGTGTTTGTTTTATTGGCTCCTTGGCTTATTTCTTTGGTAAATGGCAGGTCTTCAGAAACAGTTTTGTTGGCAGCTTTGACGTGTGTTTGGGAGAAGATCCAAGGCCGTCATTAAAAGGCTGCGTGAGGAAAAGGCAGTAACAGCTGTTTTGTTTGACTGCTGTTGGAATGAGGGGCCGGCTTCAGGTGTGGCTCCTGCCGATTACCACACACACGCACACGCACGCACACAGGCGCACACACACGCGCGCACACACACACGCACACAGGCGCTCACGCACACACACACACGCTCTTTAACTGATGATGCAACACTGACATTTCCCCACCATGGAATAAAGGATCTCTTCATCTTAATCTGAAACATAATGTCTTGTCACAAACTCTATCTGATATATAAACACTACAATAAGCTTTTTTATTATTATTTTTATTGTACATAATTATACCCTGTACAGACTATATTATTAACCTTTAACCTTTAAAATATTTGCACACTTCTGTCTTTTGCACAATCTGAGTGAATCTTATCTTATCTTAAAAGACACTGAGTGATTTACCCATGACAAAAGCTTGGGTTAGAAAAGGCACGTTCAAACTAAGGCCTGCGGGCCAATCGTGGTCCTCTGTCTCATTGTATGTGCCCCTCTGCCGCTAACACAAAACGGTCTTTGAGATCAAGTTCGCAGTGTCATCCAGCCAACTTCAGCTCAGTCAATGTAAACATGTGACTAGATCAGGACCTCTGGAATCCAGCCGCTGACTTTGTATTTACTGACATCTGTTTATCACAACATTCTGTATATGGCGCTCATGTAGCTGCTGAGATGGTCATGTGTCATTCAGCCAACTCCAGCTCAGTCTCAGCTGATTATAAAACTCGGAACAGAATCCAGTTATTCAATTTAGATAGTTTTAACAAAAGAAATGTGTCATAAACGGTTTAAACTTTGCATAATAATCACAGACACAGACAAATGCCCAAAAAATAACAATTGTAAACCGCTTTGTGACTCTGTCTGTGAAAGGCGGTATATAAATAAACATTACTTACTTACTTACTTACTATTATCACTAATGCATTTATATTCAGCTGTTTCTTCCCGAGTTCTACCAAAACAAACCCTCCAGAGGTCATTCAAAGGATGTATGCAACACAATGAGGTCCAAACTCTTTTCTCAAGTAACATATCAAACTAAAGCAGCCTCGGAGTGAAGACCATAGATCTCCCTTCTCAGGATTCAGAGCAACCTTACACCACTATCATCCAAACAAAGTATTTTTAGTGCGGCTTGAGGAAGAAAAATCAATGTCTTTAAAGCGAAGGAATAATGGCCGTCCCTCTGCCGGTTACAAAGAATCTCAGCTAAATACCTTTACCGAAATGCCCCAAGCGGACCCATCTTTATATGTTCATTATAAATCTTCTAATCTCATTAGTGTGAAATGGAAGCCTCTCACTTAGTCCGCTCTTGTGGTATTTAGGGCCTGTGGAAGCTTGACAGCATGATTTCCTGTTGACGATGTGAGTAACAGTAAGTAAGTGACAGGCCAGAATAGGTTTTCACGTTGGTGGTGAGGCGGCGAACATGTCCACGGGAGCGTTAATGGTCAGGGTGCGGGGGAGGGAGGGGGTGGGGGGAAGGACGAGATGGACAAAGTTGCTTTTAGTCTCAGTAATGGCTCCCCGGGGCTACTGGAAATGACCAAGTGGTGTGCCATCTCTCCATGTGCATTAGCCACTGGTTTGTGTTTGCTGGATCAGGACTGTGCCGATTTCATTGGAGGTGAAACAATCTCTAATCTGGTTTACAAACGATGCAATGAGACACGATAGAAATTTGAGCAACACATGTCGTTTCTCTCTTTCTAGCTTTCTTGAATAACACTATTAAGGCTAATATGCCCCGGTTAAAGGTCCTATTATCTTTAGCCAGAGATCTCCAGCCTTTTATTCCCAGATGATTTCATGACAAAGATGGAAGAGAGAGACTCTTTAAGCAATTGAAACAAATGGACTTAATATGATGGGAAGCTGGGCCTGAGTCTATAATGGGACTTTGATTCATTACAATGGAAATATTATAGAGATTATTGTCATTTCTCAATCCTTTTGGGAGATACTTGGAAAGGGTTGTTGAGCTAATGGCAGCTGCCAAGACTTTAGGCTGGAGTCCCTTCCCTTATGTGTTTTATTACCAGAAATTAAAATCGGACGAGATATAATTCTTGCAGCCGAATCAGGCGACAACGCTGTGCTCCAATCTCAGTGTGACATCACTCTCTCAGTCCTGCAGTCACCACAACACCACACAATACAACAACACCCCACAACACAACACAACAGCACACGGTTTTTTGTTGTTGTTGTTCCTTGCTGATGCAAAAGGGTCTCAAGACAGTGATGATCCGGGACATTCAGGGACTGGGACTCTGAGGCGCACTGGGACTGGGCTCCTGCTGGTGCCGGAGTCAGGACTAAATATGAGGAGGCGGCGCTTCAGATTTATGGTGCTAAACTCTGAAACAGTTTTCCTAAGAATGTGAGACAGGCTTCTTCTTTGATAACGTTCAAATCCAGGTTGAAAACATCAGAGAACATATTCTGGACCGAGTCAATCATCTCCAACGCTGAAACAGAAGGTTAAGAACTCCAAGGGTCACGTATCTCAGCTGTTCTTTCTTCTTTAATAAACAGGAAGAAAGTGTTTTTGTGACTTTAACAATCATTTAAAACTCTCTAACCACAATCTCTGACTGCTGTTGTCGTCCACAGCCACCCCCACGGTGTCGCCCCCTCCGTCCGTCACGTCCCCCATGAGCTCTGAGGACGATGAGGACCAAGAGGGGTTCTTTGAGGACCCTCTGCTGCCGCTGCCCACGGAGAACACCCCCACCACCACAGGAGGCGACTCCCGACAGCCCATCTACCAGGGCCTCAACGACAAGCTCATCCCGGTCTACTGCTCCGTCCTGGCAGCGGGGGTCGGGGGGCTGGTGGCCTTCATCATCTTTAAAAGGTACAACCTTCATGTTGTTTTAGGTCAAAACAGAACTTTATTATCCTCATTGAGAAACTGTCCACACACGGTACAGAAGTTACCAGTTCTGTCCAGCATTGGTCCAATAATCAGATCCAAATGTATTTGGTGATCTTCAACAGTTGTTGGGACGTTGTTTCATTATTACCGTTTATCTAAAGTCCTGTTTTCCTGAACGAGGCTCATTACTGTGTTACATAAAGACTGTCATCTCTAACGACTGTCATCTCTAACGACTGTCATCTCTAACGACTGTCATCTCGACCTCTGGACTCGTCACTCAGTGAGAACTTGCTACATGAACATCACCTCTTTTCTCTGTTCTAAATGTTATTTTCCAAAACTAACAAATGTTTGAACGTGCTTTGAAGCCAGCGTCGTGTTCAGAACCTCTGAATAACAGACGTGTGTTTTTCAGGTGGAATAACTGCAAACAAAACAAACAAGGAGCCAACAACTGCTCAGCAAACACCAACCAGACGCCATCACCAGAGGGAGAGAAGCTGCACAGCGACAGCGGCATCTCAGTGGACAGTCAGAGTCTGCAGGAGCAGGGCCAGACACAGACACACACAGGTACACAGGGACTCACAGGGACTCACAGGGACTCACAGGGACACACAGGGACTCACAGGGACTCACAGGTACACAGGGACATACATGTATAGGGACTCACAGGTACACACATGGACACAACTTTATGTCCCGACGAATGACACCATCCTATAAAAGACACAGGTTTAGACGTCAACGACCAGAAGTGAGAGCAGAAGTTAGAGCTATGCTAGAGCAGAAGTTAGAGCTATGCTAGAGCAGAAGTTAGAGGAGAAGTTAGAGCTATGCTAGAGCAGAAGAGTGGACTTGGGGTCAGTCAGAGTAACGGCCTCTTGAATTACTCAAACATGCGTCACCCTAAAACAACAAATATAGAGTTTGCATGTTCTCTCCGTGTCAGCAAAGATTTCCCCCGCTCTAACACAAGAGTTACCGACATGAAACATTTCTATGACGACTAATTCAATTTCAGTTACCATGACAACCTTACAAGCATTGACACTCAGCGGTGCATAGGGGCGTCCCCGGCATGTTATACATCACTTTAAAGCAACCACACCCTGTATTTTATTCTAAACCAGTTAAAAAAAGATAGATTATTGGCCAATAACAATCCTTGGTCTAAAAATGTTATGAATTCGGCCCCTGACCCGAGTTTGACAGCCGCGCTCTCAGAAGATGTCTTGTGTGCACACTGCTCTGGGTAGTTTTGTTTTGTTGAGCAGAAAAAAAACGGAAATATAACAAATACTCATGTGTTTTTGTTAAATACATGCAGCATTTTGAATATTTATGTTTCTTAGTATTGAGCTGGAGCTTGAACAAACCAGTGACTTGTGAAACTTCTCTGAATCCCTCTTCAGTTCACACATTTCCTACAGATAGATACATGTATTGTAGAGGTCTTTTAAGGTCCATATTCCCTTAGTGATAACACAAAGAATGCATTACAGAAAGACATCTGGAGTTAATCAGTCTAATCTGGAAAGTCTAATTCTTGTTCCGTGTAAAAATCAGCCGACCACAACCGCTGATAATGTCAGATCTCTTTGTAACAAGTCTTTTTTAATCAATCATTTTATTTGTTCTTATAATCTTGATCTTATGTTCATGGCTGAAACTTGGCGTGACCAAAATTCAGGAAATGCAGTTTTAATAGAAGCATCACCACCAAATTTCAAATTTGAATCTGAAATACGGGAAAACAAAAAAGGAGGAGGCTTAGCGGCAATTTTCAGAGACCACTTTGTCTCCCATAGAATGTCTCTTGGGAAGTTTTCGTCATTTGAATATGTGTCTTTTAAAATACAACAAAAACATTATCCTATACAAGCCACCGCAGTCATGTCACAGTTTTATTGATTATTTTACCGAGTTGCTTTCAGTTGTATGCACAGATTTTGATAGTTTGGTTATTACAGGTGATTTTAATATTCATGTGGATAATGTTAATGACAGAAATGCAAAAGAGCTGAGTTCTTTACTTGATACCTTTGGTCTCACTCAGCACGTGAGTGGCCCCACCCACAGCAGAGGGCACACTCTAGACCTGTTAGTTACTAAGGGGGTGAATATTTAAAATGTAAACGTGGTCAATGTTGCTCTTTCGGATAATTTCTGTGTATTTTTTGACATGTGTTTCACTAACAAACCACCAGTGGACTCTGCAACTGTTCGAAGAAGACACATAAATGAAAATACGAGTGAACTATTTATGGGAATGATAAACTTTGAAAATGCATCGTATTCTACTGTAGATGAACTGTTTAACTCTGTCACCTCTAGTGTTTTGAATGTTCTGGATACCGTTGCCCCTGTGAAGGTTAAAATAGTAAAGCAGACTCGGTCAGAGCACTGAAGAGAAAGTGCCGGAGGGTCGAGCGGAAGTGGCGCAAGTCCAACCTCCAGGTTGATTACAAGATATTCAAGGATAAGTTGTGCGAGTTTAACCGGGTGCTACGTAGTACGAGAGAAAGGTATTTTTCCATTTTTACTTCCAAACGTAAATGCAGTGAGTTTGCACACTTTTTCAATGACAAGGTTCAAGGCATCAAAAACGTATTGTATTGTATTGTATTGTATAATCTCCAGTTTGAGCTCCTCCACATGCAGCCTGGATGTACTACCCACTAGATTTCTGAAGTCTGTTCTGAGCAGTCTATTACCTTCACTCACAGAGATAGTAAACATGTCCCTTGATTCTGGAATATTCCCAAAGGCCCTGAAAACTGCAGTCATCAGGCCCCTGCTAAAAAAGAGCAGTCTGGATGCTACGGTACTTAACAACTATCGTCCCATCTCAAATCTGCCATTTATGGGGAAAGTCCTTGAAAAAGTTGTCTGCCAACAGCTTACTAGATTTCTTATAATCAACAACTCATTTGATATGTTTCAGTCCGGCTTTAGACCCCACCACAGCACTGAGACTGCTCTCGTCAAGGTTACAAACGATATCCGGCTGAACACTGACGCAGGCCAAGTCTCAATCTTAATCCTGTTAGATCTGAGTGCTGCCTTTGACGCTGTCGACCATGAGATCCTCTTACAGAGATTAGAGGACTGGGTTGGCGTCGCTGGCACCGCCCTAAGTTGGTTTAGGTCTTACCTTGAAGACAGGAAGTACTTTGTGGAGATTGGAAACTGTGTCTCAGATCATGTGGCCCTGACCTGTGGAGTACCACAGGTGTCGATCCTGGGACCTCTTCTGTTCAATCTCTACATGCTGCCGTTAGGTCAGTTAATATGCAGAAACGAAGTGTCCTATCACAACTATGCAGACGACACTCAGATCTATGTCTCACTGACTGCAGGAGAACATGGACCAGTGGACTCACTCCTTCACTGTATCCAACAGATCAGTGAGTGGATGCAAAACAACTTCCTTCAGCTAAACGCAGACAAAACTGAAATGATTGTCTTTGGTCCCCAGAAACAAAGAGAGAGCGTCATCTGTCATCTACAGTCTCTCTCCCTAAAACCTTCAAACATGTTCAGAAATCTAGGGGTAATACTGGACTCAGACTTAAATTTTAATAGCCACATCAAATCAGTAACATCAGCAGCTTTTTACCATCTAAAAAACATTGCCAGGATCAAAAACATAGTGTCTAAAGCAGACTTGGAGATTCTTATCCATGCATTTGTCTCCAGTAGGTTAGACTACTGCAATGGCCTGCTCACAGGTCTGTCCAAACAGGCTGTAAAACAGTTGCAGTACATTCAAAACGCAGCAGCTCGAGTCCTGACTAGAACCAGGAAGTACGACCACATTAGTCCGGTCCTCAGGTCTCTGCACTGGCTTCCTGTGGCTCAGAGAATAGACTTTAAAACAGCTCTGCTTGTTACAAGTCTCTCCATGGCCTCGCACCAAAATATATTAGTGACATGTTAGTCCCATATGAACCAGCCCGGACTCTGAGGAGCACAGGGACTGGACTCCTGTTAGTGCCCAGAGTCAGAACTAAACATGGGGAGGCTGCTTTTCAGATTCATGCTGCTAAAATCTGGAACAGTCTTCCTGAAGATGTGAAACAGGCCTCCTCTCTGACAATGTTTAAAACCAGGTTAAAAACAGTTCTATTTAGCTGTGCATACAACTGAAGGATTTTATATCTTTATCTTTCTTTTTAATGTTCTGTGATTATTTATGATTTTAATGCTTTCTTATTTTGTTCAGCACTTTGAGTTGCCTTGTGTATGAATTGTGTTATACAAATAAACTTGCCTTGCCTTGCCATATTTCCCTCTTTATTAGTCGGTATAAAACAATATCTCTTCATTAGTGATCTGTCTAATGTTGTCAACAGCTCTCAAAACCTTCAAACATTATTGCAACAGCCTTTAGTGTTACAACTTGCATTTTCTTGGAAGCACAAGCTCCTGACAAACCAGTTTCAGGACTTTAAGGACTTTAAAGGAGCATGTGTGTTTAACTCCATAACAGCACAGGAAAACATGAGAGACAGCCTGTTCTTTCGTCAAAACAAAATGTCATCAGTGACCAAATACAAACCTGCAATTTTACTTTTACATTCAAAAGAGACATATTATGAAAAGGGTAAAGGCGCCGTTCTGACCACTCTACGTCACTTCAAGGTCAAATATGCAAAAAATACACGTATTTCACATACAAATTTGCAAAAGGCCCCTTTAAGAAATTATTTCACTTTTTAAAACATGCAACCCTGAAGTAAATAGTAAAAATTTCTTCTTTTGGCTTTTAGTATAGTTTAAATCCAGTTTACTTGATATTGATATTACAGTATATAAAACTAAATATAAAATAAAGAAAAAATGTAACGTGAAGGGGAAAAAAATTCATCAAATAAAATACATGTATAAACTCTATTATTATTTGTCAATGTCAGAAAACCAATTCTATGGTACAAAACCAGTTGATTTCTGGGCGTCTTCGCTTAGACTGCTGCGACCTGGCAACAGATGAAGCGGAAGAAAATGCATGGATGGATGATGTCACAATGTAGAAATTTGCATGTTCCATTTGGCATAAATAGGATCACTCAGGATGTGCAAAAAGACAGGAAATGTGCCTAGCAATAGTAAATATGTTATAAAAAGTGAAAAGACCAAATTATTACTAAATTCTGTGTCTATTAAAAGAACAATGTACAATAGTAAAGTACAATAGCACAAGTGTGAAGTACAATGTGTATTTGAAGGTGACTGGCCCTGGCTCGTCCACCATTCCTTGAAAGTAAGACTCCTTGAAAGAGTAGAACTAAAATCCCTTCTCTTTTCTCGCCCTGGGGCAGTTCTGACGATGGACGAGGAGCCCTGCCTCCTGCTGCCCCTTCACACCAGGGAGAAGGTGGAGCAGCTGCTGTTCACTCGGGACGGGGACAACATGGAGGACAGCGACTGGTCCAACCTGGCCGCTCTGCTGGGCTACGAGGACGAGCGCATCGCCACCTTCAGGCAGGAGGAGCATCCGGTCCGGGCGCTGCTGTACGACTGGGCCTGCAAGGACAGCGCCAGCATCGAGGCCCTGTGCACCGCGCTGCGAAAGATCCACCGAGACGACATCGCCCAGAGTCTGGTCCTGGGTCCGAACGCCACGAAACCCACGGCCACCTCTGTCGTCTGAACTGCTCCGAAACCTTCAACTGAAACCAAGATGGTGCTGGGAAGGCTGGCTGCCGTCGTCGTACCTGTGAAAGTATTTATCTTACTTTAACACAGTGTCTTGTCACAAACAATCGTGAGACATTCTTGAACTTAAGAGGACTACGCTGCTTTCCTATTGAAGCAATCGACATCAAACTCCTTCATATACTCTATATGCCTTACTGCAGCTCTGGAAGACAGGGACAAATGATACAGAAGTCTGGGCTCGTGTCTCAGCTGAGGACTATTTTATTGTTACGAGACCACAGTTTTTACGTGGCTTCAAACCCAGGAAAAATACAGCAGATTCCCAAAGTGTCTCCCGCGTCGCCAGAACACGTTTGCCTCAATAGTTAGTTTACCATAACAGTGTTTCCCAACCTAGTGGTGCCCCAGGTTTCCACATTAAAAGAGGGGTTAAAGGGAGTGTACATTATATTTTCATTTTAAATTATGTCTATAGATACAGGTCATATGTACACATCGTATTTGACCTTTTCTGAAAGTTTTCTGGAGTTAAATGGATGTAGGACGATTTCCCCACATTTTAGGAAAGAACCGCCCTCTCCACTTTTTGAAAAAACCCTCTGGTCTTGTCTAAGGAGCACTTGTCACCAGAATGATTGACAACCAGCAGGACTTGATGATCCACCCGGAAGTAGAAAATCCTCCTATCTATACCTTTAAAAATACAACGGATATTAGTAAAAATTGGTCTGAGATAACAAGCCGTTCTTGCTTTTGGTCCAGTTTTGGTTCAGTCCAAAAATCTAAGACTAAAGTTAAATAAAAGTAATAATTTGGTCAAAATACATTCATTCACTCATTCATTCATGAAGAAAGAGTAAAGACTTAAAACAGCGGTGGACCTGGACCAGAGTGAGTTTGCCCCCAGGGGTTCGTTACAATATTTTGCCACCCAACACCAGGACGTCTACAGTGGCAAATGAGAACACAGGGCAAAGAGGTTGGGAACCACTGAACCATAACATCAACTTCTGCAGACTGGTGTAACGACCAGCTCAGTCTGAATGTAATTACATCAAAAGTCTCTTCAGAAATCATACTCTAATCAAGCCCCGTTTCCACCAGCTCTACTTGGCCCTACTCTCCACTACTTGGCCCTACTATACTCCACTTGGCTCTACTCTACTGTACTTGGCCCTACTCTACTCCACTTGGCTCTACTCTACTGTACTTGGCCCTATTCTACTCAACTTGGCCCTTCTCTACTCTATTCGGCTCTCAACAGGCTCTGCTTAACTGGTTCCATCTAGATTTTTTTAGTACCTGCTTCTCCCTGGGTCTATCCAGTCTGAGCTAACGACAGAGATCAGCCATATTGCTGCTGGAAGCCATGGTTACCGCAGCATTTCCCTGGATACTGGTTTGGTGTTGGTCAATTGCTAGGATATGGTGTATATATAACATCTCTATCTTTAGCATAATAAGAAGGCAAGTCTAAAATCTCTGAATTTAGCATAATAAAGATATAGTAGGGTAGAGTAGAGCAGAGTTGAGTACAGTGGGGCTGGTGGAAACGGGGCTTTCTGTCAACTTGTATCTAAAGCGTTCATACAAAAATATTAAAACCATAGAATTCCGTTCGTTACTTTATCTCTTTTATCTGTATTTTCTTTTGTACGTGACTCCCACACGGCGAAGACGACGAGGCGAACGCTCTTATCTCTGCCTCTCCACCTTCTGTCAGTCTCCTCATTACTCAAACCTTTCTGAACAGTGTCATGTCAAAAACCAAAGAGAAACGACGTGTAACATTCTGCGAAACATTTTTGACGAACGATGCGACCGGACAAGACTCGCACGCCGCGGATCTACAAACACAGCACGACAGCAGGACGTGTCCCAACCCATTCTCAATTTCAGCCATTTCAGGAGACATTGATCAGTCTGACAAAGGGCTGCGCAAACTCGTGACTCAGATCTCTGCAGAAGAAATATTTACACTTTTCTATGTCAACTTTTTGTAAATACCTTATGCATGCACTGTTCGATTCCGTTTATTTTTGTATAGCCCTAAATCACAGCAGTAGTTTTCTCAGAAGACTTTGCAAAACTGAATTCGCCAATGCAGATCAGAGAATCAAACCGTTCAAACACAAGAAATGCAATGATAGAAAACACATAGAGCCATTGGTCCATAAAGGGGCAGAGACCAATGTCCATAAATGTTGAGAAAAGTCCATATATCTCGTTGAATGTCGAGTTTCCTGGCTCATCACTGCTGTCTTTGGGTCGACAAGGAACAACTCTAAACTATGCAAACATACCATGCTCACTTTGGTTCATTTCACTAACGTGCTGTTATAGAGACCAGAAACTGTAAACACAAGAATGTCTGCCTTCTATTGATTACAATGTTGATGTAGCGTTTAGCAAATTCCTGAGAGAGAAGGATGGACGAGGCGAGGAAAGTTAAAAACCATAATTAATCAAAGTTGTATGTACAGCTTGATAGATCTGTTTCAAACTTAGACTTGAACATCCAAAATCTGTCTCACATTTCGGGAAGACTGATCCATATTTTAGCTGCATTAATCTGAAATGCTGCCTCCCCATATGGTTCTGACTCCGGGCTCTAGCAAGAGGCCAGTCCCTGTGCTCCTCAGAGTCCCAGCAAGAGGCCAGTCCCTGTGCTCCTCAGAGTCCCAGCAAGAGGCCAGTCCCTGTGCTCCTCAGAGTCCCAGCAAGAGGCCAGTCCCTGTGCTTCTCAGTCCAACTTTAAAACCCTGCATATTCTGTGTGTCTCAGGATTTTGTGTTGACTTAAATGTACTTAAAAGTCAACTTAAAAACGCCTTAACATATGTCATAAGTCTGGACACTTCCTCCAGACCTACAGGGAAACCCAACACATTTTCAAATCAGTCAGGACAGATATCGTTGTATTTGACCCGTGTGACCCGCCATTGTCAGGACTTGTCAGGGGCACAGTGCAACCCCTGAGGACCCAGATCCTGTCCTGGCTCTCTCAGGACCACCCTATGAGCTGGAGGATCATGTCTTATAGTTTGTGATTTTGTTTTATTTATGATTTGTGGGGAGATTGCAGGAAACCCATTTAAGATTGGGACAACAAGCGAACACCTCCCTCACCATCTGACAATAGTTTTTGTGTGTGTTATCAGCAGAAAAAGGTATTTAACATATATACAAACCTGTATCAATGAAACATATAGACCAGGCACGTCAAACTCAGGCCCGTGGGGTAAATCTGGCCCACAACACCATTTTTAGAGGCCCCTGAAATTATATTCAATTAATACTATCACAGTAACTTTCAGCATTTATGTGATGGGAAACAACGGCATGTTCATTTTAAAGCCTACTTTCTCAGGAAAACCATCACCACCAAAATGTTAACACAAATGTAATTACAAATGATAGTTACTTAATCTGTGTTTTTTGTATATTTGTACTATTTTATGTCCAAATATCAATACATCTCATTTGCGATATTTGGCCCAGTTGTTGTCAAATCCAAACCTACTAGAACTGACATAACTAAACTCATGTCAAAAACAGTTCATTTTTCAAAAGACAAAAATATGTGAAAAATAAATAAATAAAAAACGTTTACACCACTTTGATATCTCTGGCCCCAACCAGCTCTTATGTATTAAAATTTAGCCCCCGACCAAAATGAGTTTGACACCCCTGATATGACATACAGGTATATATACAGGTATACATACAGGTATACATACAGGTATATATACAGGTATACATACAGGTATACATACAGGTATACATACAGGTATATATACAGGTATACATACAGGTATACATACAGGTATACATACAGGTAGACATACAGGTATACATACAGGTATATATACAGGTAGACATACAGGTATACAGGTAGACACACAGGTATACAGGTAGACACACAGGTAGACATACAGGTAGACACACAAGTATACAGGTAGACATACAAGTAGACATACAGGTAGACACACAGGTAGACATACAGGTATACAGGTAGACACACAGGTAGACATACAGGTATACAGGTAGACACACAGGTAGACATACAGGTATACAGGTAGACACACAGGTAGACACACAGGTATACAGGTAGACACACAGGTAGACATACAGGTATACAGGTAGACACACAAGTATACAGGTAGACATACAAGTAGACATACAGGTATACAGGCAGACATACAGGTAGATACAAGTCGACACATCTCACATCTTACAAAAGCTGGTCAGTTTTTTCTCTCTATAATCTCTATAATCTTCTCTCCTGCGTCTTCTCCATGAGACGGTCTGTGGCACTACTTGCGTGTGACAATCCTTTGAACAGATGAAAGGTGAACGGGGCCGGCCCAGAGGGGGGTGTACTGTTTCCTTATTGTCTGCAACAATAACTTCTGGATGAAAGAGCAGTCAATGGAGACACAAGTCAAAGGATGTGGGCTGAATTCAAAGCAAATAGACAGGGGAAAGTGGTGCTGAGGCGGCTTGGGTTACGTTCAGGTAAAAAAATATAATCTGGAAACAGTGTGAAATCGCGAGGTTTAAGTCGTGTTTGCAGTAAATCTGTGTTTTGCGACGATGAGGCCTGGTTTGTTCGGTTGTTTATCAAAAGCCAATATTATGGTCAATGTGCAGATGATGTAAAAATACAAACAAAATGGAGATCTGTCACAATGATTTGATAAAAACGATGGGTGGTGAATGTGTCGCAGTGGGTGGAAAAGCAGGGGAGGCCGTGGTTGTAAATATGTACATGTTTATTATACTTTTGTCATATTTCTTTGACGTTTGAAGGAACCGTCTGTTACTAAGCCGTACTGAGCATAACGTGAAATGAAGGTATTCCATAAAACTGTAACGTTCCTGTGACATCACTCGTGCCTGGGAACTTTACAGGTTTATGGTGTTGCACATTTTTGTTTGTACATAGTTTTGTAATCTCTCTCTATGTATGTAAATATATCCTTTATTTTTA